ATTATGAGGTATTTTCTAATATTTATATTTGATGTATGGCTAAATAATGAACTTCACAAATGCACTTTGAATTTCTCATACATATCTGTTTAACAAGGGCCATTGGTTCAAAATTATTTGACAGCTGTCTGTTGGTCAATATATCAATAGGACCGCACGTAGTATTTCTGAAGATGATTTATATCGATAAATCCGGCATGAATTAATACAAATATACACCAAATAGGCGTCACATGTAATTTCCATTCTTGTTGAATGATTTGTTTTGCTCTGAAACTCAAAAAAGCAATATTGTAATGTTCTTTTTTTCTTTTTTTCTTCGTTATTTAATTGGTTACATCTTTGACAAAACATTTATTTGTATAATATCAGTGACGCGTGGGATCGATAAATAAATAAATAAATAAATAAATAAATATTAATTTCCGAGAATTTAATTTTCCACTGTTGATAACTCTCATGGGATCTCGCGAGACTATGTTACAGGTTCTGGTGTATTCCCCAGTTATTTGGAATACTATAGTTATTTATAATATTGTTATATTTTTTTCGAAATTGGTCAAGTTATTACAAAATAGATGAGCTAAGCCCGCTTCTTTGCTACCCAGCTTCGCAACAAAAGTGGTACTTTCGATGCAGCATATTATTGCCATACACGCATTTTAAGCTAAACCTATTTTACACGTAAATGTTGAACTTTAAACGATAAGTACACCAAGTAATCAATAGGTTAACAGCAATTCATATTACATGAGGTACATGTTCAAACTTGTCAGTAGGTTAACCTCAAAATAAATCATATCAAATATAAAATGAGATAAACAACACCTGTCATGGTATTAGTTTACTGATAGCGTTCAAAATACAGTTTTCATTGAAAAAGATGTTACTCTATAGACAGACAGAAGTTGGCGATGTAATTGTTCGTATAGTAACGCCCGTGAAGCGACCACCATCGGGACTTATAGATGGGTAGCACAATTATATTCGTAATAGATTTTTTACCACCTTTTATCTATATGGCATAGGAACGTGACAATTCTGGTATGACTGTGAGGGATATGTAGTCAGTATATTTACACATTGACAATAAAGAATATTTTTGTATACATATATATTAATTTGACAATATAGTGTACGATGCTCTACCAAAAATAAAATAAACACACTAATAATTAAATTGTCAGGTTAAGATCATTTTATTAACGACACTAGAAATAAATATGCTTAGATAATTTTCTTTTTAGACGTCGACGGACGAGTATGTTGATTTTTAAAAAAAAATAAATGCATCGGTGTCGATCTTATTTATTTGAGACCGTCTCACCATCATTAATCGGACCGACTACTACACATCCATATCCCGCCGTGTATTTTGACCCGAAAGACCTAGCCGGGCATGATGACGTGTTCAAGAATGGTCCTGCGATATGTATACAATATACATACACTTTACTTTCTAGTTTACATAGTGATTAGTTGCATATCCGGTAATAATAAAATACATATTTGTTTGGTGATGTGTTACAGTATAGCTGTATGTATCGGTAATTAACGACCGGTGTGCATGTTATATCACGTTTTGAACGCAGAAAAATCGCTGTTCACTTGATGCCGAAATGCATGATACTTTTTTTTTCAAAAACAAATTCACGATCCGGAACGAATATTTTATTAATTTATTTCCCCAAGCATCTCTTGTGAAGTAAATGAACTCCTGAATGTTAAATTTGTTAAGAACTTGTTTGAATAATTCAAAATGATTTTGTAAAGAAATACCAATTTTATTAAACATGACTAGAAATTCAATGCCCGTCATAATACTATAATTATATCACATGTACATGTCAGTATAATGTTCAAACACAGAGTTTGTATATTTTATCATTTCCGTTTTATTTATAACATGTATATAGTACTAAGAGGTATTGTCTATATCCAGTATTCGCCGCTACTCTGTGTGTGGTGTCGCTATACATAAATAAATAAATTAGGTAAAATTAAGTTGTTGATTTTTGCTCACGTGAAAACCATGACACCAATACTAGTTTAAAATGAAATGGGAAAATCAGTATGATCCAAAATAAATAAATATTAAGCACCCGCAAATAAAACACAGAGCGTTATACAAATTATGTGTATGTTCACAGTCATTCTATGATAGAGGGACTCAGTTATCTCTCTCGCTAAACTGGACTATATCCCCGGGCTATATCATGATGCTAAATAAACGTCTCAGCAAATAATAATATAATAATAATAATGGACTAAACCATTCGTGACTGAATAAAGCGTGATAAAACTATAGTCTCCATAAACACAGCGAAATTGTGAAGAGCAGCTATATTTAATGAATTTTGTGAAAGCTCACCCACTAGCAAAAGAGATGAATGAAGCACCTTTTTCGCTCAACGACGACATTACCCGGCATGCCCCGAAACGAACTGGTTCATGGGATAGTTTGTCTCGCCGCCATATTGTGGTTTGGTGTGTGGTGGTTAAATATTGTGAAGTCTTTTTTTTCGATTTTAAAGTAGTGTTTTCTCCTATTTCCGGCAAAATGTCGGCCCAAGCTCAAATGAGGGCCATGCTAGACGAGCTGATGGGCACAATGAGGGATGGTGAGTATGAGTTCATCACGCCTTTGTCGTTGACTCGCTACTGGTGCCTTTTATTTCAGTCACGAGTTGCATGCATTTTTTTGGACGTTACGTTTGTTTGCGGATGAGAAATATAGCGAATGTTTCGTCTTCACGAACGTTTACGATTACCAGAAATGCGAACGTGGTTTCTAACAATGTCGTACTTGTAATAGTTGTGTTATGGTTTTGATGTTAACTGGAATATATTTATCCCAAGTTCACGAGTAAAAATAGACTCTCCTCGCCCAATCGTTTTCCAGGGAAATTCAAAGTCAAGATTGAATTAACATTCGACAGTATTAGAGTTGCATTTCTTCTAAAATGTCATAGCTTTAAAAACTAAGAACAAAAATAATCAATTGAACTAATTGCCGAGACCATGCCAAGGTGTGTAAACCTGTCTGGTGCATTGTAAGGTGTAATTATTGTACGTGTTTGATGGTATGTTCAGCACCCAAATCTTGTTTTGTGGTTAAATTGGTATTTTAATCAAAAATTCGTATTTAAATTGTGTATATGCTGTTATTAACAAGTTTGATAAGTTTTCCTTATTTTGAGGTTCAAACTGTCCATAACAAATCAACAATATAACTTATTTTTTGTTTTGATACTGATTAGTGTAGTTTCTTAATTGAAGACTAGTTTCTACATTTTTCAGTGTTTGACGATATTTTCAGCATTGCCACAATTGCACTTTTTATCTGAGCAAGAATTGCCTTGATTCAAGTTAGTTAAAGCATTGCTTTTGCATTTCCATACATTAGAAGTTTCAAATTTAGGCAAAATACCAGTAAAAACCTTGTAGCACATTTTTAGAATGTGTATTGCATGTAGTGTACTGTACCAAAGACAGTACATCTGAACTGTGGCACTGTTGACTTTGTATAGAATATGTGCGGTTGATGTATTATTATGTGTGTAATGCTGTGTGTGGCATGGTGATATACACTTGAATGCTGACCACTTTATTTACAAAACATATTTGGCCCCCTTCTATACCAAAGGGTTCTATATAAGTGCAAGTTACTTCATCCAGTGGCACACATGTGCAGTGTATGACACGAAACCTTGTCCAAAGCAGCCTGCCGTGAGTTATATATTGTCTTTTTAAGTAACGTTTTTAGATGTTATTTCTGTTGATTGAACTGAATCCATTTGGATTCCACAATATATAATTATTAATACTTTGTTTTTGTCAGCTTTAAACAAAAATTGGAGCAAGAGCCACTTTTCTTCTGTTTTGATTTTGTACTCGGATATGTAAGTCTATCACTCAAAATTGTTTTGCATGATTGCAACAAATCGATTTGTACGAACAAGAAATCAAAAAACAATACAAAAATAGTTTGGCACTGTAATTGAGCAGGAAAATTCATGCCTGACACATCACTGTGATCATCAGTGTGTTGCTTTGTGTGTCTTCATGCTGATTTCCTTTTTTTTTTCTCCTAACATGGTTGGCTTTATTCTAGGTGGGAATTCACAGACCTGTTACAACAACCTAAAGTATAAAACAAGAAGTCTGTCTGTGCTGCTGCCGTGGTTCGCAGTGTGTATGACATCCATAACAATTTTATTGTCTCATTTCAATAATGATCACATATAAGGGTTCAAATCCTTTGTCAGGTTGTTTGGAAATGATTATTATAAATTTAAACAATTGTCATTTTGACAATAATTGGCTTTTTTTGAGATGTGTAAAAAAACTGAATTGATCTTTAATGAACAAAATGTCTATGCCAGCTCTGCTGGTTTACTAAAGTGTTTGAAAATTTAAAGCAATAAAAACTACAACCCTTATAAATCATGTTTTCGCTCAGTGTGTTGCTTGGTCCTTGCTAATATACTCGTGTTCTCTTTTTAGGAGAGAGCAAGCTGACTGTAAAGTTTTCAGATCCAAAAGTGTGTAAATCATTTTTACTGAACTGCTGTCCTCATGATATTCTTGCAAGCACGGTGAGTTTATTGTTCAGCTGTAGATCTGCACCCTGATGTAGTATAAACTGTACTTGTAGCTCTGAACTTGTCACACTGTGTACAACTGTAGTCTTGAACGAACATCGCTGAGAGTGGGTGATACAGTCAAACCTGTTTAATGCAGCCAATGGCCAGGTTTTAGTTGCAGCTAAAGTTAAGTGCATATAACAGACATAATTCCCAGATTTCATGCAAAGAAATGCATTAAACAAGACTTGAAGGATCACAAAAGACACTGTTAGCACATATTCACACTTTTCATTCAAACAATGATTTCGGCAATTGTTCTCTTTTTGTTCATAATTCAGTTTACCACAGCCAGCACACGGCACTGACGTACAGTACAGTACTAGGGAGAACACTAGTGTTTGTGTGTGTGAAATGGGGATGTGAGATCTGTCTTAATACATTGATTCAATGCCTAAATAATATTTATGTTTAAAGGCTACCTATCTATAAAAGCCAAAATCTCGAAGTCCCCTGGGTGGCCACTATAGACCAGTATGACTAAATTAGCTTGTATCCTACTATGAAAAAAAGGAGAAGTTGCAATTAGATAGAAAGCAAATGTGTTAGGCTTCAGATAATCCTTTGCCATTTACGTTTGTGTGCTACAAAGTTGTCCCCTCACTTTTGCCATATAGATGATTATTTTGCTATTGCACTCTCCTAAGCAATAGCTGCAATAATTTTCACAACCTCAAAATATTTGAAGTAATAAATCAATAAAATGTAGTAGATATGGTATACATACTGCACCTCGTCCGTGCAGAAGGTAACACTTTGCACAAATGTATTATTGGAGAAATTCGAACCATGTCTTGTTGAATCTTCAAAGTGCTCCTTTTGCGGAGAACAGGATGAAACTATTTTACGATTGTATTTTTATTAGGGAATTCTGGGATGGTTTTTACATGCTGTGGGGAAAGAAAATGGGATTGCTAAATACACTTAATCCCATACAGGTTATCCTTGGAGATGAAGATTTTTCCATTCTCTTAAATTTTACATTATTGGCAGCCAGATATTACATATACAGTGCAAGGTGTAAAAAACAGAAGCCGGATTTAATGGCTTATAGAAAATACATGCAAAATGTTCAAAGTATAGAATTTCATATTGCAATCAGAAAAAATAAATTAAAAGGACACCTTAAAAAATGGGGAAATTTTCTGAAAGTTACGGGTTAGACTGATGTAATAAATGTACCTGAGGTCATTGAAGCTAGTTATAAACCAAGTATTGGAACATATAAATGAGCAAGAAAATACAAGAAATGTAATCCTATTTTATTGTGTATTTCAAGTATTGTAATTCATATAAGATACCCCAATAAAATATTACTAAAAACAAAAAACAAAAACACTTTGCACAATTACATTGGAATTATGGTTATTAAAAGTCTTGTTTTTTCTTTTCAGCGTATGGATTTAGGTGACTGTCAGAAGATCCATGACTTGGCACTAAGAGCAGATTATGAGAAAGCAGCCAGAGATAAAGATTATGGATATGATATTGATGTGAGTATCCAATATTTTTGTCTCCAAACTTCCGGATTCATAGTGTATACAGAAGGGGGGTTACTATTGATGTTTTAAATACCGTAAACGTCCGAATAAGCACCCAGGAAACTCCTGGAATCATGTTTTTTAGGGGGTGGGCACTTAGCAGAGCACCCCACTCGTAAAATTGGCAAAATCACAATTTTAGTAATGTTTTAAACCACATATTTAGGAGGTTGATGAAAGCATATGTCATTGTCAACGGTCATCACCGTCTGCATCAAATCCACATACCATATACAAACAGTATGACGTATGTATTTCACATGGGAATAAAACATACAAAATTTTGTTTACGAACAAAAAAGTTGATCACGTCAAAGTCTATTGAAAACCCTTTGTGTTACCTTGGT